TTGAAAGGGGGTTAGGGTTAGGTTGAGAGAAGAGGGGAGACGAGAGGATACAGAGGCGGCGGTGTGTAGAGAATGATTAGGGTTAAGGGTCGTTTAAGATTAAAAAAGGAAAGAAACAATACGGGCCATTGATCTCTCAAATCAACGACCATGATCTAATGGGTTCTGGGTCGGGTAAGTGTGTATAGGAGCTGGGTCGGGTAATTTAATAAGAAATTGGGCTGGGGTTGAGTTCAATTTAGGCTACAATTGAAATGCCAATCTGGCTATATTTTAAATAGCCAATTTTCCCCTATTTAAGTTATTTTAATATATATATATATATATATATATATATAATAAACAATTTCTGGAAAATAATTTTATGTACCAAAATGATATAAAATATATATTTATCATTTTAAAAATATAGGGACCAATTTTACGCATATAGAATGTAAATATACATTAAATGAGCTAATATTGCAATTATATGCAATTTTAGCTTAAAAATACCAAATGCAATTATAAAATGCATAAAAAATATATTAACCATATTTTGGCATAAATATAAAAATTAAATAACTAAGTCATCATAACAATAATTTGGGAAATACTTATTGGGATTTTATGAACAAAAGGGAAGAAAACAAATCAATTTAAATTCCTAAAATTATGGGAAAAATTGTAAAACCCTTGTGCATGCTTATATATGCATGTATATGCTATTTTGAAGGTATTTATCCATATAAAAAATATAGAAAAAAATTGAGTATCAACAGTCGGCACACTTCATTCCGATTGTGACTACATATACTTCAGAGAAGTTGGCCCAGATTTATATTCGGGAGATAGTTTGGTTGCACGGCGTGCCTGTTTCCATCATATCAGATAGGGATGGGCATAAAATTCAAAAAACCGCCGAATCGAACCGAATTAGTTTGGTATTTGGATTTCTATTTTTTCGATATTTCGGTACAGAAATTTCGGTATTTCGGTAATTCGATACGGTATAAAGTATTGTTTTTTTAATATTTCGGTATACCCAGCAAGATTAGCATGGTTCTAATGCAAGATTAGCATGGTTCTAAAACATGGGTCAAGTTGGGAGGGTCGGGTTATAACCCATTGTTTAGCCCATCTTGACCCAGCCCATCTTAGCCCAAGTACTCTTTGGACTAGGTTGGACAATGACCTATTTATTGACTTAACCCATCTTGACCCGCCCAAATTCAGCCCAACCCGCCCATTTAACCCGCCCAAATTCAGCCCAACCCGCCCATTTACCACCCCTAGGTCTGGGGAGGGTAATGTGTACGCAGACCTTACCCCTACCCGAAGGAGTAGAGAGGTTGTTTCCAAAAGACCCTCGGCTCAAGAAAACAAAAGACAAAAGAAGACAATATTAGTATCACCATAGAAGTCATAGAAAAAATAGGAACAACACATGTTCTTGAAAATTAATAAATGCTAATCATATTTGTATAACCATTGTCCATCTATTTTTTTTCAATTCCCCTTCCATATCCCTCCTCATTAGCACAACTCTTCTTCATTCGAAACGTAATAATATATTGATGATTTGCTTCAGTTATTGTTCTATTTTTTAGCATAATAAGTTAATTAGTTTTAGGATAAATATACTTTTTTGAGTTAAAATTTCTAATAGATTTTTTAGGCTTTTGAATTTTTCTTATGTAGATTTTTTTGCACATTATGTTCTCAACTTTTGTATTTAAAACCCTCTATGTTTAATAAAAAAAATTAGAGTCATTTTCAATCAATTTTTTTAATCTTTTGCTGCTTCATCCTTTTAAAACACCCAACAGTGGTATCAAAGCTTTATTGGACTTACGAGATTGGTCTTCTACCTTAAGGGGAAAAAGGCCTTTCATTATTTATATATGGTACCCTCCCTCCCATCCATACCAAAGACGACTTTGGAAATAGGCAATTGATCTCAATTATTCTGTCATAAACCTAGAAAAGATAGAGTTATTCAATCAATGTAGAACCATTGTCTATCTATTTTTTTGTATCTGCAATTTCCGACCCCAATCCCTCTATATAAAGCTTTTAGTGTATTTTCATATCCCTATCTCTGTCCCTATCTCTCCTCCATCGTATAGGTAAACTAAGCTCTTCTTCCTTCCTCGCAAATAATGTGAGGAGAAGGCAACTCCAAAAGAGAGAGGAAAGGAAAGGAGAAAGTAGAGCAGTATTTGGTATTGGGTCCTATAGTGTATTTTTTGTTCTTTCTTTCTAACTTGTTACCAACTAACTCTACCCCATCCCTATTTAAACTCTTCTTTGCAGGAAGTGCAGGAAAAAAACCAAGAGTTGGCACAAAGCAAAGAAGATAATATGGTCGTGATTGGCCACAGGCAGAGAATTCTTATAGACAACATCCATGCAGCTAAAGCCGTGGAATTATTTCTGGCAAATAAAAAATATTGGTGCGAAACTATAGTGGTGTTGAAAAGCAAAGAGAAAAACTATGACGTCAAGATCAGTTGCCTGAATAAGTTACTGTCGAATTTTTTTAGCATAATAAGTTACTTAGTTTTAGGGTAAATCTATTTTTTGAATTTAAATTTCTACTAGATTTTTTTAGGTTTATTGAGATATTTTAGGTTATTTTAAATTTTTCTTATGCATATTGTTCTGCACGTTATGTTCGTAAGTTGTCTATTTAAAGCCCTCTAGGTTTAATAAAAAACTAGAGTCATTTTCAATCAATATTTTTAATCTTTTTGCTGCTTCATCATTTTAAAATACCCAACAGTGGTATCAGAGCTTCATTGGTATTACGGAATCTGTGAATTCTTCCAAATAACCATTTTCAAATTATTTTTAACCAATATCAATTGTTAAACCTATTTTCAAACATGGCAAGCAGTAGTCTCTCTTTGAATCCCCACAAACTTTCACTGGTGAAAACTATCAGATTTGGTCAGTGAAAATAAAAGGCGTAATACATACGGAGACACCTAAAGTTGGCACGATCTTTCACTTAGACATTTAAACTAGGCCTCTTTCCATCTGAACTCATTTCTCAGGCAATTCTCATACCAATTAAACACGTTTTTTGCTGGCTTATTAATTAACCAAGCGCGTGTTCTGCCATCTCCGTCTACGTGGCAAAAGTAACCATTATAAATTGTGGCACATCATTTTTTTGTCCACCTCACTGTCCACCTCAGCTATATAGTGTTATTTCCACTAAAATACAAATAACTAGCCCTAAACAAACGATCTAAACATATTACCACCATTCCTTTTACCATCGATGAAAACGAAGAAAGGTCCTACCACCGTTAAGCTTCTTCTTCTTTTTGTCAATGGTGTTGGAATCTAGTATTTCCATTGATTTCTCACTGTATTTACAACGCTTCAAGGTCCAATCTCTCCTTATTTTCTATTGCTACAGCTAGGGCTTTTTATTTGTAAGTTATTGATAAAGCTAGGGTTTTTTTGGGGTTTTCCTTTGTGCTGGTCCCTTGTCGTCTTATATAAGGGAATATTATGGATGATGACTATATTTTAACTCGCTTTCACCACGGAGGTACATTTATCGAGCAACCTGTCCCAATATACAAAAAGGAATTAGATGCCTTGTTGTTGCTATCGATAAAGACCATTTTAGTGTTGTCGAGTTGTCTGCTTATGATAAAGACCTTGGGTATGCAGCTGTCGAAGGGTTTATTTTCAAAAGGAAAAAGATGGTGATTTTATCAAAGTCTTTTCTGATTTTCAGTTATATGAATTTGTGAAAGATTTAAAACATGGTGATATTTTGGATGTTTATTTGCGTCATGGGGTGAGTCAGCCTGAAGTACTCGAAGAAAATGTTGGTCTTTTATGTGGGGCAAAAGTAGGTGGGGGTGGTAATGACCAATTTAAAGCTAGGGCAACACCTGAGAGTAATATAAATACCGAAGAACCTATTGAGCCGCCTACTGAACCAACTCACAATGCTACTGAACCACCTATTGAGTCGCCTATTGAACCAACTTTGAATGATGTTGAACCAACTCATAATTCTTCTGAACAAACTGTAAATGATGCTGATGGAGATGAACCACCAGACCATAATGTTGATGAAGTGGAGTGCAATCAGATGTTGAGAGTAGATGTTCTTCCTGAAGAAGATGATTCAGATGTTGATGATGAATTGAGATCTTTAAGGGCTGAAAGGAGGATCAAGAGGCAGAGTAAGAAGAGGAAAAAACCAATTGCAACAGATGAGATACCACTAAGAGAAGCAGGTGTTGACAGAGGATTTGAGGATATTAGAAGAAACAAGAATTCAAGATATGTAGGTAAATTAGGTGGTGATGAGCAGTTTATTGATAGTTCAGAGGCTGATAGTGAAGATAGCACAGAAGAGTTAGATCCTGAAGCTATTCCTGGTGTTGATATACCAACAAGAAGGAGGAGTACAAAATTCAGGTATGATCCTGATTGTGAAGTTGCTATATTTGAACTTGGGATGATTTTTGAGAATGATATAGAGTTTCGAAAAATATTAGCAAATTATGCAATTGAGTACAAGGTGCAGATTAAATTGAGACCAAATGAACCACATAGGGTGAGGGCTAAGTGCAAATCAAAGAGATGCAAATGGGTGTGCTATGCTTGTATTGATAGAGATTCGGGTGATTTTAAAGTAAATAACTACTACCCAGTACACAAATGTGATACTTCAAACAAGAATAAGTTGGTCACTTCAAAGTTTGTTGCAAAGAAATTCAAAGATGAAATAACTAAGCAACCCCACATAAGGATATGGGAAATACAGGAGTTGTGCAGGGACAAGCTAGGATTGTATGTTGGCAAGACAATTTGTTATAGGGCTAAACTGCGTGTTCTCAGAGAGTCCATAGGTGATTGGAATATGGAGTTTGCAAGGTTATGTGATTATGCTGATATGATAAAATAGACCAATCCTGGTAGCTCATGTTGGGTAAGGATGGACGGTGAAACTGAGCCAGAAAAAAAATCTCTTTGTTTACTTTTATATGTGCTTTGATGCATTGAAGAAAGGTTGGTTAGAAGGATGTAGGAGAATCATAGGTTTTGATGGTTGTTTCTTAAAGGGTGCTTGTAAAGGTGAGCTTCTAGTTGCTGTTGGCAAGAATGGAAATCAGCAAATGTTTCGTATAACATGGGCAGTTGTGGACAAGGAGACAAAACATAGCTGGAGTTTTTTCATCAACTACTTGAAAGATGATTTGCAATTGGGAACTGGAGAAGGATTGACTGTGATGGCATATATGCAAAAGGTAAGTATTCTGTTCTGTTGTCTCTTAAATAGTCTGTTAAGTAATTCTGGTATTTGATATTCATCAATGTGATATGTTCAGTTGTTAAGTACTTAAGTATTCTGTTATTTTGTTAAGTAATTAAGTATTCTGTTATTTTGTTAAGTAATTAGCTATTATAGTAATTAGTTGTTCATTAGCATTCTGCTCCTGTTAAGTAATTAGTTGTTGTAGTAATTAGCTGTTCATTAGCATTATGCTATTGTTAAGTAATTAGCTGTTAAGTAATTCTGCTGTTAAGTATTCTGTTGTTGTAGTAATATGCTACTGTAATTTGAATTAATTATTGTGTAGGGATTTATAGCAGCTTTAAATGAAGTTTTACCTAATGCTAAATTTAGGATGTGTGCCAGACATATCTACTCTAATTGGCATAAGAAATGGAAAGGGAGGAAAGGAGAAAACAGTTTTGGAGGTGCTCTAAATCTAGTTATGAAGTTAAGTTTAAGGAGGAGCTTGAGAAAATGGACAAACTTGGTAAGGATATTTGTAGGAATTTGTTATATTATCCAAAAAAGTCATGGGTTAGAGGTTATTTTGAAGTGCATTCCAAGTATGATGTTGTTGAAAATAATATGTGTGAGACCTTTAATTCATGAATTTTAGCTTCTAGGCATAAATCAATTATAACTATGTTGGAGGAGATTAGAAGGAAAATAATGACTAGGCAAGTGGATATGTTAAAATTTGCTAATACTTGGATATCTGATATATCACCTATGGAAAGGCTACTGTTAGAGGATAGCAAAGAGCTTGCTAGAAAATGTACTGTCCTTTGGAATGTTGATGTTGGATTTGAGATTGGAGAAGGACTGCATAAGCATGTAGTTAATCTGACTGATAAGGTTTGCACTTGTAGAGCTTGGCAGTTGAGGGGTATTCCATGCCAACATGTTGTTCTTGCATACTATCGCATAAACAAAGAACCTGAACAGGCAGTGGAGCATTGGTATAAGAGGGATACCTTCTTAAAAGCATACAAGTATTTCATCCAGCCTATGACGAATATGAAGATGTGGACTGAAACCGACAATCCTAAGATAGAGCCTCCCAAAACTAAACCCATGCCTGGTAGACCACAGAGGAACAGAAGAAAAGGCAAAGATGAACCAAAAAAGAAATATGGAAAGTTGTCCAAGTGTGGAGTGAAAATGACATGTTCCAAGTGCCATCAACAAGGACATAACAAAAGATATTGTAAGGTAAATGTTTCTTGTCAAATATTTCCTTTGTCATCACATGTTTCCTGTTGTTCATTGAATCTAGTAATCTGTTATGTAATCTGTTTCCATCACTGTTATGTAATGTGTTGCTCAATGTTATGTAGGCTGAAAATTGGATGCCTTCTCAGCAAGGTAGCCAAACCTCACAAGGTGCTAGCCAACCTGATGCAGTTGGAAGCTCAAGCCAACCTACAAACTCTGTGTGTTTTGATACAACAAGGGTTAGAAGGGTTAATGGAGCTAGAAGCTCAAGCCAACCAACACCAATTCAGCAGATTCGTGCAGGCCTGCTAGAAGAGGATTAGGTAGTCAACTTCCTCCAAAGGGTAAAGCAACTACCAGCCAAAAAGAGAGGAAGGGGTGCAAGTAAAGAAGATGCTGAAAAAGGAGAAGAAAAAAGGTCCAAAAATATTGGATTTGGCATCTACACAGCTACAAGTTGAACTCAAATACTAAATGTATATATATATATATATATATATATATATATATATATATATATATATATATATATATATTTCATCTATAATATAACTTAGAAATAACTTACTGATTGTGGTTCATTATTTGGCAAACTGCAGCCCGGAACATCAAGCCAACGAGTTATTGCAAGTGGTTTAACTTATAAGAGTGCAGCTCCAACAGGAATTGACCTTGGTTTTAAGGCTAGAGGCTTGAGGTGAAGGGGTCAAGATGCTGTCACAACTTCCCAGTTGCAGCAGCTGAAGGCAAACTTCAGCAAGAAGTAGTATCTTAGGAACTTATTTTGTCTATATGTTATGTAGCAGCAACCTATTATATTTTGGGATCTAGTTTTTGAAAGAACTAAACTTTAATGGTTGTATTCAGTTGTGTAATCTTACTGTTCTATTTTGGATATATGTTATGTAGCAGCAACTTCAGCCTTATTTTGTTTTGGCAGAATAATTAGTCTATGTTCTGAATAATTAGTCTATATAGAAGCAACTTCAGTCTATATGTTCTGAATTTTGAAACTGCATCTTATGGTTCTATTCTTTGTACAGAAGTTGTATATTACAGCAGTTTCAAAATTCAGCAGCTATATATTACAACAGCAGTTTCAAAATTCAGAAGTTTATAACAAAATTCAGCTGTACAGAAGTTTATAGCAACAACAGCTGAATATTACAACAACAGTTTCAAAACAGAAGTTTATAACAACATCACCATTACATATTAATCAACAACACCTAAAACAACCAACAACACCTACAACAACCAACAAGACCTAAAACAACCAACAATGCCTAAAATAACCAAAGTACATAAGTCATACAGTTTCCATAAAACGACCAACAATACAACAACAATCGTCAAAAGGATCCGTCTTCTTTTTGCTCGAACTTTCTCCTCTTCAAAAGCTTTGACTCTCTTTAATAAACCCCAAATTATTTTCTTCTCTTGAGTAGGTATCTCATCGTCATACCAACAGAAATAATCACATCCACCCTTTTTCTACAAATATCACAAAACACTTTTAATCAATTTTTATCAAAGAAAATAATTCATAAAATAGAATTTACAAATTATGAACAAACAATTTACCTTTCCGATTTTGCAAGCAAAAAACCTACGACCTGGGTTTAATTGGATCCAAGAAGTATTCAACTTTGGAGAAACACCACACTTACAGATTCGAGCGGCAGCGCAAGGTGACATTGATGAGTTCGTCGATTCCGATAAGTTCGACATTAATAAACACGGCAACAACAGAAACGAGAGGAAGAAGAGTAGAGAATAAGAAATTAATTGATACCAAGAAGAGAACATAAACGAGAGAAAGAAGAGAAGAGAAGAAAAGAATTGACAAGAATAGAAGGAGAATTGCTGAAGAAATCTGAGAGAGAAGAGAAGAGAACAAATAGGGTTTTTAATAATTGGGAAAGGGATTATGGTTTAAATAATAACTGACAATCGATGTTACCGTTATGTGTCTAATTAGGAAAGGAAAAACCACTTACTGGAATCCTTCACGCGCCTAAATAGGTTTGAAGTCACACTATATGTCACCTGCAAAAAACGTGTCTAATTGGTATGAGAATTGCCTAAGAAATGAGTTCAGATGGAAAGAGGCCTAGTTTAAGTGTCTAAGTGAAAGATCGTGCCAACTTTAGGTGTCTCCGTATGTATTACGCCAAAATAAAACCATATTTTGAATATGATTTATGAGAAGTCGTAATGGAAGATAGACCATTACAACTATGATCTTATAGTGTATTTTTTTTCTTTCAACTTGTTACCAACTAACTCTACCCCTTCTCTATTTAAACTCTTCTTTGTAGGAAATGGAGGAAGAAAACCAAGAGTTGGCACAAAGCAAAGAAGATAATGTGGTCGTCACTAGACAAAGATAAATTTTTTATAGACAACATCCATGAAGCTAACGCCGTGGAATTAAATCTGGCAAATAAGAAAATTAGCGTGGAACTGTAGTGGTGTTGGAAAGCAACGAGAAAAACTATGACATCAAGATCAGTGGCCTGAATAAATACTGTTGTAATTTTTAGCATAATAAGTTACTTAGTTTTAGGATAACTCTACTTCTTTGAATTTAAATTTCTATTAGATTTTTTAGGTTTGTTGAGATATTTTAAGTTTTTGAATTCTTCTTATGCAGATTTTTCTGCACATTTTGCTTTTAAGTTGTCAATTTAAAGCACTCTATGGCTAATAAAAAAAATTAGAGACATTTTCAATCAATATTTTTGCTGCTTCATCCTTTTAAAAAATCCAATATCGGTATCAGAGCTTCATTGGTCTTACGGGATCTGTGAGTTCTTCCAAATAATTATTTTTAAATCATTTTTAACCAATATCAATTTTTAAACCCATTTTCAAACATGGCAAGCAACAATCTCTCTTTGAATATCCTGCAAACTTTCACTGGTGAAAACTATCAGATTTGATCAGTGAAAATAAAATCATATCTTGAAGCCTATGATTTATGGAAAGTTGTAATGAAAGATAGACCATTACAACAATTCCCTGCAAATCCTACCATCCCTAATTTATAAACCATTCAGAAGAGAAAAACAAAAAATACAAAGCCAAAACTGTGATTCAAAATTCAGTTGCAGATTCATTATTTCTAAAATTATTGAATGTGAAACAGCAAAAGAAGCTTGGAAAAAGCTTTAAAAGGAGTATCAAAGAAGTGATCAAGTCAGACAAATGTAAATTTTAAATTTTAAAAGGGATTTTGAATCTGTTAGGATGCAAGAAGACGAGACTATCACTAGGTATTCTGATATAATTTTTTTTATTGTTAATAGAATCAGGTTGCTTGGCGAGGATTTAAAAGATGATAGAACAGTTGAAAAAATTCTTTTATGACGATTCCAGAGAGACTCTTCCCCCTTGCTCTTTAAACTCTGCTTTGCAAAAGGCGGACAGAAACATGGACTCTACAATTCTATTCAACTATATAGGTGTCGAAAAAGATATCGAGCAAAAAGCCACATGCCGGTACAAGCTCAATAAGGAAGAAGGCAAAGTAGACGACTGAGGCGGGAAAACACAGATATTATTGTGTTGTTGCCAGCATGCAGGCAGTAGACGACCTGGAAGTTTTTCTCGAGGATAGGACAGGTTAGAGTGGAACAATAGATGTGAAGTCTAGCGACGAGCAGGATTACGACAAGAGGATGGGGAGCTGGCAGAGTAGCCTAAAAGGAAGAGGAGACCGACATGGACTCTACTCTTTTTCTCGACCACAAGGGTGTTGCTGCGGATATAGAAAAAGAAAGGCGCATGCCCGAAAAGATGAAAGAGAGAAAGCAGACCAGGTGAAAAAACACAAATATAATCGTACAGTAAACGACATGAAGGCAGTGGACGGCCTGAATGTTTTTCTTGGGAATAAGCCGGGTTGGAATGGAACAATAGATGTGAAATCTAGCAACGAGAAGGATTACTACAAGAGTATTTTAGATCAGTTATTTTTAGTAACCACGAAAATTAAAATAGAGCGACGGGAATAAGATATTTTATATATTTGGGAGTAAGTTAATTTTAAACTTTTTATTTTATCCATTTTACTCTAAATAAAAAGTATAATTACACAAATATTATGAAATATTGAGTAAGTTTCACATGTATTGTAGTCGCACAAATAATGTAAAATATGTTTCGGACCATAAATCTAACAATATTTAATTTCATATCTACGCTACATAAAAAATTGAAACTGAAGGAATACAAAGGTTATTGCATGATTGGTGTCCCAACTCCCAAGTCCCCAATTCAAAAACCAAGATAGGATCACTATTGATCTGTTTAATTTCTTTTTCTTATCTACATGTGCCCATTGCTTAGGAATACTCAAACAAAGGAGATCTCTTAGCTTGTAACTGACAATTTATTCAATTAGAAATGAGGGGGACGTATAGACAACGTAACTCAAGGAATTAATGAGTTTCTTTTATCTTTTGGTATATTTTTATTTCGAAAATTTTTAGTTTAAAAAGTTCTCTTGCGGCCTTTTTTCTAGTTAAATTTATGATTATTTTGCTTAAAAAGAATTAAAGAAAATTATTATGTCCAAAATATTATATCATGAACTGAAAAATGAGCTAGGAGAAGATGAGACCATAAAGAAATGGTTATATGATATTGTTCATGAATTTGAATTGCGAACAACCTTTACTAATTAAGTAGTTCGAAGGGATAACGCATATTTTGCTTTCTTTGTTCAACCTTTAATTTTCTTCCTTTTAATGCACTTCTGCTTCTTCTATTCAAACCAAGTGGGGATCAGATAAACCTTCCCAATTTAATTCACTTATTTTTCTCGTATGCCAATTATGGTATAGGAATCCTGCCGGTAGCTTCTTCTTCTACAACAATGGGTTCTTCTGCCTTATGGGAAAAAAAGCTTTGATTATTGGTTTGGTCCCCTCCTTTTCCACCCATTTATAGGGGTATTATCACTTTTAGCCTGCGGCAGAAACTATTTATATTAAAAAGTGTATAAAATTTATATAATTTTTGTATATACCAAAATGTATATATATACAAAAAAGTATACATTTTTTGGCTATTATTTTGAGAGTAGCTATACATCGTTATTTTCCTCCATTCATACTACATAACATTGGGAATAGGCAAACGTACGTATTGATCATGTTTCATTGGAAATGAGCTGATCTCTCTTAATCTCTCCCTCAGATCCATTTTAATTGATTTTTTGGTTTTTTTTTTAGGTCCACAATATTTGATTTTTCAGATATCAAGAAGGAGTTAACTTCTTTTTTCCAAAGTTATCCTTGGATTACAGAGTCTAGGAATATTTGTTATATTTCTAATTTTTAATAAACAAATTAAGGTTAATATGGTCAATTGTATTATTAATTAATGTTAAAAGATGAATTCCTTAATATGTACTCCCTCCGGTTCACAATAAGTGACCAGTTCACTTTTTTATTTTGGTCCAAAATAAGTGTCCAGTTATGTAATCAAGAAAAAATTCAATTTGTTTTTACTCTTTTACCCTTATGTGCATATCCCTAAAAAGTTTTCTCACTCCTCACTGTAACTATGTGACTAATATTTAAGAAGGGTAGTTTAGTCATACTAGGTATTTTTGTATAGGATTTAGCATTTTCTTAATGGACGTGCTAAAAGGAAACTAGTCACTTATAATTAACCGGAGGGAGTATAAAAATATAGCTAAAAATTAATTAAAATGGACTGGAGGGAGTATTTCTACCTTGTAGCCTAAAAAGATACAATTCTTTTACCAATGCATTACCTTTTGTCTATGTATTCTTTTGCAAATCCCCCCCCCCCTCCCCCCGAGCGAAACCACATGTCCTTAAAGGGTGGTTAGTCGAAAAATTACACTAAGTATATAGGTAATATTAGGTTTTAGATGTACGTAACATAAATTGAACACTTTTTATCGGACACTTCTTTCAAGTTTGAACGCCCTTGACAAAATTCCTGGCTTCGCCACCCCCTCTCCCCCTCCCCCTTTGCCTCGTTTCCCTCTGTTTAAAATGTGATTATGAAGGGTGAAGGTCCCTATATTGTTCTTTTGTAAATATCATGCTCACTTGATGCTTCATTTCTAATTGCTTGCTAAGGATAAACGTGTTATGTGAAAAGCTCCCTCTTTCTTATGA